CCAGGTCTGTCCTGAAGCCGCCCTAGACCGCAAAGAGCCGCCCTTCCCTGTACTCCCTACCGCTGACCCAGGCCCTGTACCTCGGCCTGTGCTTGCTCTCTGGCTCACGTCCTTCGTGGCCCCGCTGGTGCCTGGGGCAGTGGGAAGGTCTCGTCACCTTAACTGTCCACGCAGGCACTTCTCTCGCCGGTCCAGCAGGAGGCAGTCCTGAGGATCTCGGATCCCTCCGCTGTGCGAGCAGCACCCCCAATCCAAGGCAGAGTCTAATCTGCATGACCCGCCTGCTCAAGGAGAGAGGTGCCAGGTGACTTCCCTCACCATCCCACACGCAGGGAGGAGACACCATGTGAGGGGCGGAGGGCCTACACTCTGTGCCCTTTCTAAAGAAGACGCTGGCATTCCTGACTCCTGTCCCTGCTGTGGGGGCCACCTGTTGGCAAACTATCCCCCACCCCAGGCAAACGTGCACCCAGGCCCAGAAGCAAACACAGGACACCCAGTAAAACTTTCCCCAGGCAGAACTCCTGGGATCAGCAGGGCAGTAACCCAGCCAAGGCGGGAGCTTCTCCGAACGCGGACGGGGGACCAAGTCATAATCCTCCCCTGCTCAGCCTGCCCACCCTGTGCGGGGTCTGTGCTCTGCAGGGAAACAGAAGAACCAGCCAGTGTCCTGGCGCAGGCGGCTGGAATCAGGGCCACGGTATCATGAGTGCCAGCTGCCCTTACCAGCCCTGCTGGGGCCAAGCGGGGAGAAATGTTCACTCAGGGCTCTCACACACCCCCTTCCACCTCCCCGGAACTCTGAGGAGGGGCTCGTTCCCTGTAAATCTCCTTTCCAGAACATGGAAAACCCCATGAAAAAGAAGATGCCGACATTTCTTGAGAGGTTTGCCCTTTAGACTGGCCAAGGTCTCTGTCAGAGGGCTGAACCCGCTATGACAGGGGAGGAGAAGTTTGTTCAAAGCCCCTCGAGGTCCCTGTGAGTGAAGTCTAGCCAAAGAATGCAGGGCACAAGTTGAACGGGAAGCGTCCCCGACGTGAGAGCACATGCCAGGGGAGCTGGAGCCCCTTGCCTGTGATGGTGCTGAGGCAGGAAGCCACTCATGAGGAGGCTAAGAGGAGTTTCAAAGCACAGCACACAGGAAGCCGGCGCTCAAGGGCCCATCAGCCCTGCCCTCAAGGACTTTCCACTGCCACTCCGCCGGGCAGGAGTGTCGGAAGCCAAGGACCTAGGTTGGCCTGAAAGCCCGGGCCCAGCCGTGCGGCTCTGTCTTCTGCACACCACTCAGCATCCTGGGACCCTGGGTCCCACATGCAAGTCTGTGACCTCGGAGCTCCAGCCCTGGCCTGTCTCTGCCCTTGGAAGTCCTCCCAGCCCTGAGTCTGAGTCCACGAACATCAAACTCTGCAGTCCCACCCTCACAGTCCCTGGTCATCCACCTTTCTCCCCCGCACCATCCTGTCTCCGAGGCCCAAGAACTGAGTCCATTGCTCCTTCCCCATGAAAATAGGCTTCCTCTCCTTCCACTACTGTCCTGCTCTCCCAACTCAGCTCAGGTGTCACTTCCTCCAAGATTTCTCCAAGGTCGGACCTGCCACATAATTTGTGGGGCCCCAGCAAAAGGAAAATGTGTGGTCCCTTGTGCCAAAAGTATTAGGAATTTCAAGACGGACACAGCAGGGCACGAATTCAAGGCAGAGGCCTGCTAAACACAAGGCCTGTTGTGACTGCACAGGTCACGTGCTCACAAAGCAGGACCTGGCTCCAGGCTTTGCACCTTGGGGACAATGCCTGTGGACAACCTCACTGGGACTTTGTCACTCACTGCCTACCTCAGAACAAAGGGCTTTATGTACATGTCAGCTGTCCCCTCTAGACTGTGAGCTGCAAGGGGAAAGGAACTAACCACTGCATATCCTGGAGGGTGCATTATAATGCTTGGGCATTGAGTTGAGGCCCAATAAACATCAAATTGCATTGTATTGCATTGGCAGATTATATGGAGATTGCAAGTACAAAGTGTCACCAGCAGGTGGCACTGTTCCCTTCCTGAAAGTTGAGTTTTCACGTACTTCTTAGGGTCCTTAAAAATATTTACTTTTTCAAGCTCTCAGGATGAGAACCTTCCAGGGTTGAGAATCATTGCTCTCATTCACATTTGCTCCTTGTTTTTTCATGCTTTTTTTTCCATCCTCATCCAAGGACATTTTTTTATTGCTTTTTTAGAGAGAGAAGGGAGAGAGGAAAGGAGAAGCATGGACACGAGAGAGAAGCATGCATTGGTTGCCTCTCGTACAACCCCAGACCTGCGCTCAGACTAGGGATCGAACCCGCAACCTTTTGGTTGTTGGACGATGCTCCAAACAACTGAGCCACACTGGCCAGGTCCGTCCACATTTTTACAGATGGGGAAACTGAGGCCCTGAGAAAGAAGGTCTGAGAGAAGGTTGAGGGCAGAGCCTGATTTGAATCCTATGCTCCTGATGCAAAGTCCGAGGCTCCGAGATTCTTTTAATTCTCTCCCTAACAGTATTTCACACTTTGAGTTTGCTGCTAGATGTAGGGAGAATGGGCGTGTTACAAGGGGCAGGGCGCAGGCTGCGGGGCACAGGGAACACGGTCGGAATCTCTGTTCCAAAATCTCCCGGCTGAGCAGCTGTCCTGCAGCCCGAGGCTCCACCGTGAGCAAGCTATAGCTCTGCGGTTTTAATCTTGGACTTTTGGGTCTCTCTCCCCCTCTCTTCTGTGTGTCGGGTTTCCTCAAAGCACAACTCATAACCACAGCGTGGGTGAAATTTTTAGGTGCCTTCCTCCCTGGGGGGCGGGGGGATGCGGGCTGCTCAGGGGCATGCAGATGGCAGGGGAGAGAGGAAGTGGTTTTAAAAATAATGAAACCAATAACATAATATCTAATAAGTTTTGCAGGGGTCAGACTTGACCACACTCCCCCAAAAGCCACCCCCCATGCCCTCGCCCTGTCAGGCTTGGCTCTGGTCCAGACCACAAGGGACAAAGACGGGGCAGTGGTGGCACAATAATGCCTTCAAGGGTGAAGTGCAAACACCTGCTGTAGCTGGCGCTGGCCACCTGGGGCAGGGGTGGGGGATGGGAGGATCTGGCCCTGTTCTGGGGAAAGGCACGGCCTTGTGAGCAAGCTATTTATGGCTCCTTGTGATTATAAAGTATTAACTGGGAACCACCCTGCCAAGCTCATCCCCCGAGTCCCTACTGACTCCAAACCTCCTCCCCAGACCTGGCTGGGGTCTGAAGGTGCATCATTAGCCCCTAACCCCGGGGAGGGGTATCCTGGGTTCGGCTGGTTTTGCCCTGGTACAGACCTACACTTCTCACACTAATTACCCGTGTACATTTTCAGAGTGGTCACCTTAATGGGAAGGAATTTAGGTCTAGTGACTTGTCAGACACCGGCTACCTTGGAGTTAAAGTGCTGGAGTAACTACGTGAGCTTGACATTCTAGTCACTAAACTGCTCTGTGCCTCAGTTTCCTCTTCTGTCTATGGGGCTGATAGCATTTGTTTCATGAGATAAAATAAGGAATAAAATGAGGAATAAAATAATTAATATATGTGAAGAACTTCCAGTGGGGCCTGGCCCACCGTAACGACTTGGTACAGGCTAGCTGCTGTCGTGGTAACTCTGGAAGCACTTTTAGAGATAATCCAAATATTGCATCATCTCTCCATTTGACAGTAGAGGAAGCTGATGGTGCAAAGCAGCTGAGTGACCTTCTGCATTAGCTTTCTCTGTTGCACAACAAGTTACAGCAAGTGTAGCAGGTTAAACAACACACACTGATTGTCCCAGTTTCCATGGGTCAGGAGTCCCAGCAGCGCTTAGCCGGGTCTCCTGCTCAGGGTCTCCTGAAGCTGTGATTAAGGGCTGTGGTCACACAGTGGTCAGCAAAATTTATTTCCTGGCAGCTATAGAACTCATGGCAACTTGCTGCTTCTAAGTCAATGGGAGAGCATCACTTTTATCAGGGAGGTTCCAGACCCTCTTCTAAGGGCTTTCAACTGATTAAGCCTGGCCCACCCAGGGTAATTTCCCTCTTCGCTAACTCAGAAATCAACTAGTTTGGGACCTTCATGACATCCGCAAAATCCCTTCACTTTCACTCTCCAATGTAGTGACCCCCATCCTATTTACAGGTCCTGCCCACACCCAAGGTAGGAAAAGCACTGGTTGTGGACACCTGAGGCAGAAATCTGGGGGCCATCTCATCTCAGAATCCTGCCTATCCCACTCCCCAAACTACTGGCAAGGGGACATCTGTTTGGCCTGACAGCCTCCCACGCACCACAAAGGAATCACCCCGTGCAAGAGTCAGTGCCTGTGGGAAGACTGGCAGGATCAGGAAGAGACACGGCCCAGCATCGTCCAAAACCCATGTTGCCTTCTGCCCCTTTCTCAGAAATAATATTATACCAGGTTCCACTCAGATAGCTCTTGACCAAGCAGCGGGCTATCATCGCCAGCCTTTAACACGGCTTCTAATGGTTCTCGCCCTCTGCCCTTCTCTAGTCCCCTCCTGCAATGAATAGGGCTGACCTCAGTGACCAACGGCCATTGTGGAGGTGACGAAGTGACTGCTGAGGCTTGGCCATAAAAGGCGCTGTGCCTTCCACCTGGCTGTCTGGGATTATTCTATGCAAAAAGCCACCCCTGCATCATGAGGTCACTCCGTCGGCCCTATGGGGGGTCCACGGCTTTCGGAGAATGAACACCGACTGGCCAGACATCAAAACGAGCCACCTGGGAAGTGGCTCCTCCAGCCCAGTCAAACTTTAGGGGGACCACAGCCATGGCCAACATTTCAAGTTCGACTTCATGAGACCTGCTTCGCTAAGCTGCTCCTAAATTCCCAACCCATGGAAACTATGTGAGATAGTTATGCTGTCATAAGCCTCTAAATTCAGGGGTAATTCTACACGGGAGTAAAGATAAAACAGGGTCCGTTGGGAGCTACTAATACCTTACCCGAAAGATGGCGCTGATGAGGATAATACAGTTTTATGTGTCGAGCACTTGCTGTGTACCAGGACCTCATCTACCTCCCCATCGGCCGCCGGAGCACGAGGGACCAGCTGGAGCAAGCCAAAACCCACACCCAGAGGTCTCACGCCACGCGGCATGGGCCCAGCAGAAGCTTCTACGACAATGGAGTTGGAGACCATCTGCCCTGTCCCAGAGAAGAGCCACCAGCCGCCTGTGGCTACTGAGTCCTTGAAAGGTGGCTAGTGCATCTGAGGAACTGACTTTTAATTGGTTTGAATTTTAATCTACTTATTTAAGTAGCCACATGCGACTAGAAGCTGGTTTTGGGTGGCACAGATGGAACAGATGCGAGGGCTTTGGCCAGACCCACCGTACAAGGACCGCAGACCCCCTTCGCCTGCTGGAGTTAGGGAAAGCTGTGTGGTGGGGTCTCGGGGGTGGGGGGGGGGGGCTTGACACCAGACTCGCTGCTTTGGGGGGGTTTGTGGGGCCTGAGCAGCCCCCAGCGAAGGGGCCCTGGGTGCCATCCTCCGATAGGCACTGTGGTTAGGAGCAGACTCTAGAGTCTGGCTGCCTGGGTTAGAATCTCACCTCGGCCATTGGTAGCTGTGTCGATGTGGGCAAGCTATTTAATCTCTTGGCTAGTTTTCCCATCTGTAACAGGGGGTGCTAATAACAGCACCCACTTTGTGGAGCTGTGACTACAAAGTGGGTCCAGGTATAAAAAGCAGAGAACGGGTTTGCTGGTGGCCAGCTTAGTGAAGAGGATCTTACCCAGCTCACAGGGTTGCTGAGGATCAAAAGTGTGTGGAGCCTGCCAATCACACCAGCTGAGGCCAAGCAGGCCATGCGAGTGATGCGGTTGGGGGGGCGGGGGCAGGTTGCAGCAAGGCACGGAACCCACGTCTAGACAGGCTCCTGCCTGTCAGCAGCCCCAGTCGTTGCCACACTGCCAGTGTCGTCACATCATCTCCCCAGGAGAAGTGAGGAGTGTGGATTTTTATGGGAAATGACCTCATTTCTAGTTGGCAACTCACCCCGGGACTTTCATCTGTTTGTTTTTTAAACAGGGTGCCGCCTAAACAAAACACGGAGCCGGGCGGTTGGCCTGAGGCTGCAAGCGAGTGAGTCCCAACCTTCTCCCCTCCTCCTCCTCCTCCTCCTCCTCCTCCTCCTCCTCCTCCTCCTCCTCCTCCTCCTCCTCCTCCGCAGGCCTTCCCCGGCTCTGACATCTCTGCCTCCCCAAAGGGGATTGGGCGGGGCAGTTATCTCAGGCCCCGCTGAGGTCCAGGGACACAGCCCAGAAAGGATGACTTCTCACGAACCCCAAAATCACAGAGGCAGGCGATCTAGAAAGTACCAGGTTTTATTATCTTTTTATCAAAAAATCAGTAACAGACAACAGTGTGAAGGGCCTACAGGAGGTGCTGACTTCCGACGTAGCCAGAGGAAAGGACCCGGGGGATGGGGGGCTGGTGCAGAAGAGGACCCAGCCAGCTGGGAGCCCTGGGTCATGGGGATGGGGGAAGGCGCGGGCAGTGAAGCTGATCCCACCCACCCCAGCCAGTGGGGTCGGGAGACTGCAGCCTACCCGGGCTGATCCACTAGGCCTTTCCTCTCTGGCAGATAACAAGCTCCAGAGCTAGGGCCCAATCAGCCCTCCCCGACCCCTCCCTGCACCCAGGGAGGCAAAGGTCGCCCCAGCAAAGCTGGGGCTGTGACTTGCACAGCCAGTTTGGTTCCCCAGCAGTGCTGGGCCCTTAGATGGAGACGGTCTCCACCTGCTTCTGGCTACAGCAGGCACTAGCCCCAGGTGGCAGCCGAGCACGTTAGTGCCACTGAGGAATGGATTTTTAACTTTATGTAATTTTAATGGACTTAAATAGCCACATGTGGCTGGTGGTTACTGTATGGGCTAGCACAGCTCCCCGGTTGCCTCTCAAATTTGGAGAAATGAAGGAACACCAGCTGGGCTCCAAGCAGAAGCTGGAGAGAAGGTAGAATATGATGCGTGTTCTATTCCAGCCCAGTGGGAAGGCACCAGGGACGGGGCAAGAGAAAGAGGCAGAAGCCCCCTCGGCCACATCAGAATTCACTCACTCAACCACCCGGCAACTTCGAATGGGAAATATCATACTATCTCCTGAAAAAATATATTTATCTATTTTTCTAGAACCGAGGAAGAATAATAATATATTACAAGGAAAGAGACACAAATATCCTATCATCCCTTACATGATATTTTGGGATCTGCTAGAAAACTATGTCTCAGCAAAAGCTACTTCTTAAAGGAGCAGCTTCGGAAAGGGTCAAAGCCGTGGCAGAGGACTGTAGAAGGTGCCTTATAAAATGGGGAGGGGGTTCAAAGAAAAAGAAGAAAAAGAGGCTCTGTCTGAAGCTATAAATAGTAAAAAATAATAATAAAAATCATATCTCCGGCTTGTCTCTCATTTTCAAGAAAAACAAACAAATCCAAAAAACCCATTAAATACAAATGTAGCAGGCGTGGCGGGAATGTGCAGGAGAGCCGAGACCACCCGGCACCTGTGCACTCGTGCCCAGGCAGAGAGGAATGAATCGTAAAAAAAACCAAAAACAACCCACTAAAAATAGATTTACAAACACTCCACAAATCCATTTCAGTATGAACTTCCAGCTCTTCTCCCCACCCTCCCCAAATTTTTTTTAAAAAAGCTTATTTTCCAAAAGACACTTGAAAGAGCCCGAGGCCCCACGCACACACTTCTGCAGTGTGGACGCGCTGCCCTTGGACTGACACCTCTCCAGGTGCGGATGGTTCTAGTTCCTGCTCCAGGTTCCTGGTAGAAGGACCAGCTGTGAAACGGAAGTGGGGGCGGGGGCGGGAGGAAGGCCCCGGGGGTCAGCCCTCCAGCAGGACTCCTAGCGCGGCTCCCAGAGGTCCTGGCGAGGCGTGGTCAATACGGGCTCTACGCTCCGCCTAGATTCTAAACTGGAAGATGAAGCAACCATCCAATCCTTGACTCGTCTTCTGAAAGGCCACGTTTAGCCTCATTTTTCCGCTGGGACCATTGGGGCCCAGAGAATGAAGAAGAGGCAGGCAGGGACAGGAGAAGGTGATGTCCCTCCTGTCCCATGACACTTAATCAGGGCTGAAGATACCGACAGGTCAGTTTTAGATTGCCCTCCCCCTCCCCTAACGTCCAACCTCCCAAAATCCTTCCACTTTCCACCCGCCTCAAGTCCAAGCCAGGGCCCGTGAGGAAGCTTCAGGCGTAGAACTCATTGGTGGGGGCTTTTTTGTAGATGGGTTTCTTGCCCAGGTCGTAGCTGCCTTCGTCCTTTTTCTTCATGCGGTACATCAGCAGCAGGACCAGGAAGATGGCAAAGAGGATGCCCACGCCGCCGCCCACAATCAGAGCTGGAGGGAAGAGGGGACAGCAAGGTGAGAACGGCAGCTCAGGGCTCCCGGTGCCCTCCCCGCCCATAAGTGGTCTCTCTCACAACGAGACACCCTCCCCATCACCACTGCGGGCCGCCCCCCCAGACACACTGCTGCCTGACGTGAGTCTCACAGCCTCGCTTATGAAAAAGGGGGCCACAGGGGTCCCTGAAGACCCCAGGGCCAGAGTGGCACAGCCACCATTCCAACCCACATCTGCCAGAGTCCAAAGCCCAGCTCTTTCCAAAACAAACACCAGGCGGACGCCCCAGCAGCAGCTTAGCGCCAACTGAGCTGGAAGCAAGAAAAGTCACAGGCTGTGGAAATGGTCACAGACACACATGCATCGCGCAGTCCTCTCGCTGTCCCCGTGTGCACCTGTGTGCTCACCAGCATACAACTCCATAGACGGGCAGACACACCTGCGTACACCCAGGTACCCACTCCCATACACGGGCGTCACACAGTCTCAGGGCCGAACTCCTGTGTTCTAGGTATTGCAGGTGGAGACTCACGATCCGTAGTTAAGGCCTAGTGCCCATTCCCACCCCACCCCCACTTACTGGCTGAGCGACCTTAAGCTCCCTCACCTCACTCATTGCTAAGTGGAAACAATAGTACCTTTCCACGTGTATCCTAAGCATTAAGTACATTAATCCACTTAGAGTGCTTAGAAGTGCATAGCAGCTGCTCTGGACTCATGCATTGGAAATGTTTGTGGTTTCTTGGTCCCTCATGCCCTGACTCAAGCCTGGCACAGCAGTAAATGACACTCACAGCTGGGCTGGGGCGCACAGCCCGAGGGCAGCTGGCCGGCGTCGGGCAGATGTGGGTTTCTGACCTCGGGTGGATGTTCTCAGGAGGCCAGAATGGCTCACTTCCGTCCGGGGTGGGGGGCAGGGAGGCCTCCCAGCATCCTTTCAGGGGCAGATCGAGTCCCCTAATTCAGTCTCACTCGGGCTAAGAGGATTAACTGGCCGTCCCTGCTGCACACACTCAGTCACAGCTGAGCACAGATTGGGGGCCCGAGGGCCCAAGCAAAGTTCTTTCTCAGCTAAAACTCTATGAAAAAGCAGCCGCATGGTGCCCCCAGGAGATGTCAGGAAAAGGACAGGGAACATCAGGAACCGACCACATCTAGCTGTCCTCACCTCTCCTTCGGACAACCCTGGCCCCTCTAGTCTGTGCTGGGACTCCCCATGAGGTCAGGGTTCAACTACGGTCTCAGAAGTGACCGTGGTCCTAGGTTCAAACGCCAGGGCTACCGCTCCCTGGTTTTATGACTTTGGGCAAGTGTTTTGGTTTCCCTGAACCTCGGCTTCCTTCTCTGTCACAGTCTCCCTCCCTCGCCAAACCCGTCTCAAGGGCCATTGTGTGAGGGAAGGGGCAGGAATTTCGTGGCACTGGATAGGCACTTCACAGACCCTCAGGTGCTGTTTCAAAAGGTGGGACCGGAGGGTCCCGCCCCAGCTGGCTCAACAATGCAACTTCACATGAGGATCGTGTACTCGTTTAATTCTCTACTGGAAGATTTAAGAGAGGAGAGGACTTCAGTTCTGCCTCTGGCTGTGTGACCCAGGGCACGTGGCTTGCCTTCTCTGGGCACCAGCTTCCTTATGCATAAGAATAGTTGCTTGGAATAAATCAGTGGTTTTTAAAACTACTTTTATGTTTTTAAAGAAAAAACCAAACACATTTTGCTTTAAAAGGAATACAGTCCTTAGTTGATAAAAGCAAAAGCAAAACCTTATGTAAATCCCACACTCAGCTAGGCCCACTGAAAGTGAAACTCTGTGGTTGAAGGAAGAAGGGGGAAACTTTAAAATACTTCAACTGAACAGCCTGAAACTAAAAAGACTAAGTAGTCTCTACGGCCCCCCCCCTAGTTCAACAGCATCCCCACCCCACCCACATCACACAGAAGCTCAGGGACCAGGGGGCCAGGGTCAGGGCTGAGATGGGCCCCAAGTCACCCGGGGTGATACTCCCAGGGAGCCTCATCTGCAAGACCCTTTATCTCTCCTGGATGAAGGCAGGATGCAGGGCTCTGTCCCTGTACCTCAAGCCTCCAGGGAGCTCCTGGCCCAGCTGGTTGCCAGGAGACAGAAGCTGCTCCACAGTGACCCAGGGCGCCCACTCCCCAGGCTGGTTCATCCAGCTTGGCCCTTGGCCTGTAAAACCTGGCACAAAGGGCGTTCCCTGACCACGCCCCGCCCCCCAGCTCTGGAAATCCCCAAGGCTGCCAAGGCAGGAGAGAGGGAGCCAGTCACCATCCCAGCTGCTGGCCCCACGGAGCCGCTCCTGCAGCCTCACTGTCCCCGAGACACAGCTGTCCCCATAACAGGACACTGTGGTCCAGGACCCTGTGGCTGTACCTGAGGCCAGCTGCCGACCCTCGCTAGGGCTCTGTTTCCAATCTGTCACGTGAAGGTTCCCTGTGTGCCACCTACTGTGAGCAACTCAGTGAGGACTCACTGGCAGGTTTGTGAAAATAATGTACACGGAGCTACTTGAAAATGGAGTCGGAGCTGCCACCTGAGAGGAAGAGCCTTGCAGGTCTCATTCCTCTAACCTTCGGAACAGGAATACCGGGCAAAAGAACCTTTGGGAGGACTGGGGCTAAAGCAGCACTGTGTTCCAAACAGCTGTGTGCAACGATATCAGGAAAGCAGCTATCAGGACTGAAAACTGAGGACATTCTTCAGGATTAGCATCACTGGTTAGCTTATCTGCTCCCTTAGCTTATAAACCCTGCATAGGAATTCCTTCTATTCACGTCATCATTCCCCTTCCCTCCCTCATTCATACCCCTTGCCTTCACCTCCTAACTGGAACACTATTTGGCTTTCTGCCTGAATACGTGATTCCCGAATAGCTGTTCTTTTGGATCTTAGCGCTTGTTGCCTCTCACCTTGACCTTGCATTTTAGGTTCGCATATCATACTACCAAGTCAAATGGGCCCTTTACTGTTGACCTCGTTATTTTAGATTCTGTTTGTCCTGGAATCATTACACCAGCCCGAGGAGGCATCCCTGTCTGCATCTGCAGCCGAGGAAACTGAGGCTCATCTCCACTGAGGTTCAAGAGCTTCTCAGCCAAGGTCAGAAGGCTGTCAAATGAGAGAGCTGGGGGAGGGGAAGCCAGTCTAATCCTGAGGAGCTCTGGGCTTTCAGGGGAGGTTTTCAAAGAATGTGAACTTTTAATAATAATTAACTACCTAGGCTCCAAACACAGGAGGTGAAAAGGGTTTGAAAGTAAGAAAGGACTGCAGGCAAGTGAAGGACTCAGCTTCTCTGTTCTTCGGAAGTCTTTGATGGGCAATTGTCCCCCACCAACAGGCTGCACAGTCAGAGCCTGTCCCCCACACACACACATGTGCATGCACACACACATGCACACCTTTGGGGGGTGTAGTCCGTCAAGATGGGACATGCTGGTTGTGGCTGTAAGGAAGGGACACCTTGCAGGGAGCCCATACCTGCAGCATTACCTCCCACAGAGCCCCTCCACCTTCAAGGTGCCCAGGGAGGAGCAGGGACCTTACCTGCCAGGACCTCTGTCCTCTCAAAGATGCTGCTGCCCTGGGCAGTGCTGGACATGGACACCCTGTTGGATATCTCCTCGACCCCTCCGACAGGTGGCGAGAGCTTCTTGGGGATGACCTCATTCTCCTCCAGCTCCCCAGGTTCCGAGGGGGCTCGGCTTCCAGGCCCCACCCTCTCAGGAATGCGGTTATCTAAGGGCACCTGGATGGGGGAGGGGGAAGAGAGAGGCTCAGCACCCTTGGGGAGGGGAGGGCCCTGCAGCCCAGTGGGGAAACTGGTTCGGCTGGCTCACTGAACCACGTGGTCCTCCTGAAGAAATCCGCCACGAGCTCAATAATTAGGCCAGCAAATCCTTCCCCTCAACTGGTCTCGTGGGTCTGTCCCAAAACGGGAATGAATAGTGTCACCAAGAGTATGGGGAAGCAGGTGTCCCCTCACTGCTGCTCAGTGGATATTCTGAGGAACCACTCTGGGGGGAAAGTTCGGCAAAACTGCCTTTAAGGCAGCAATTTTGCCTGTGGGACTCTATCTTATGATGCTAATCAGAGATTTGAATAAGCGATGCTTGCTGTAGTGCTATAATTTTAGAACAGCAAAAATCGCAAACCGCTTTTCCATCAGTCAGGGCAATCGAGTGAACTAGAGTTATGCAGCCTCTGAAAATAGGAAGAACATTTAATTATCAGGGAAAATACTTGTGGCCACTTTCAGCAAAAAATGCAATACATAGAACTGTGTGTACCGTTTGACATGCATGTTGCGAAATGCCTATAAAAGTGCGGGGAAGGGGCTGGAAACACTTGTAAATGTTGCTGGTGATCATCCTGACAGGGAGGATGGCCTGCCTGTGACCCACAAAGGGGCCCGCCCCAAGTGAGCCCAGGATCACCAATGGACATCTTCTTGCAGGGCGAGGCCAGACCCTCACTTATCCCGCCCCTTTCAACAGCTGTACAAGGAAGCAGGGGGAAAGGCTAGCCTGTGGTTACTTACCAAGGGGTGGATGACTTCAGGAAAGACCTTGGGGTCCTCTGGCTCATCTGTAAGGTCAGAAGGGCTGTGTGAGTGAGGTCGGGTATCCCCAGAAAAAATGACCCCTTTCCAGCCACAGGTGCTGTGAGTCCAGACTTATAAGTAGCTCCCAAGTGCTCAGTGCCCAGCAAGGGACCATTCCCACCCTGGCCTCAGCCACCTCGTCTGTAAAATGGGGCTCCTAACCGCTGCCTCCCTGGCTCGTTCCCTGGCTCTTTCCCTGGCTCCAGGAGTGTGGAGCTGATAGTTGGGCAGATGCTGTGTCAGCTCCAAACCCTCACAGTAGGTTGCTCAAATACAGAATTTCAGGGCCCACTGAACCTGAATCTGCATTTTAACAAGATCCTCAGGGGACTCCTTTGAGAAAGCACAACTCTAGATCACAATATTAAATATCAGAAATTGCAGTATGAAAACATTTACTTTTAGTGCTCAGTACATGCAGAGCTTCCTCTGCAACCAATGCCTGAAACACAGATGTAACGTCACTTACATCTATTCCCATGTTACAGACTTGGAAACTGAGGCTCAGAGGCCATCACCTGGCAGTCTGAACTCAGGATCACATGAGTCCAAAACTCAAACTCTGAATTATCCCACAACCCTGTGCACGGGATGGACGTTTCCGAGTAGCTCCATGTGTTCAGCATCCGGGGCCAGAAAGTTGCAGAGAATCTCACAGGGCAGCAGCCCCAGGTCCAGCCCCAAGAAGCCCGGGCGCCTTCACCCATCCCACCCCGTCTGAGGCCAGGGCTTGTTCTTGGTTTCCTGCCTCCACTTCGACCTTGCAGGCCCCCAGGTCTGTTTGTCCTTTTCAGATGTAGAAAAGCACTCAGTTCTCCCCACCCCAGCCCACTCCCGCTCTCGCTATGCCCCAGAGGTGGACCGGTCTAGGCTGATGCTTGGAAAACCTGGAGCTGCGAACAAGCAGCTCGGGGAAGGCCTCAGAGGTGGACATGGCTGATCCGGTTCCTTCCTTTCTTCTATCTGAGGGGGGAGGTGAGCTCTAGAAAATCCCCCCCAACAGTCCAAGTCTCAAGGCCGGTCAACCTCCCAGGGGGAGAGACCACATTCCCTCCAGCCCCGGACCCCAGCCTGGCCTTCACCCCCTTCATACCCAGATCTCCAGAGCCAGACAGCTCGAAGTCGTCGGACTCCTGCTCGGGCCCCCCCCCATCCTCGTCATCGGGCAGCGGTCCGGAAGGGTACCGGCTTTCTAGGTCGTGCGGGTCGATGACCTCGGTCTCTCGGATCTGGAATGGAGAAAGGAGACAGGTCAGCCTGTATCGGTCTGCAACAGCCCCTGCGCCCCAAAAGGCAGTGAAATGGACATTCGAGGAGGTAAACTGGGGTGCTGGAAGGGGACCAGGCCTGAGCCTGGATTTCTGGGTCCTGGCCCCCTTCTGGCCTCTCACCCACTGTGTGACCTTATGTGAGTCCAGTTCCCATTCTGGGCTGGTAAAAATGACCGAGGTGGTAATAATCAGAATGGAAATACAGTACTAGGTGCCATTTCCTAAACACTTGCTACGTATGGGTCAGGCCTTGACTTTCCAAAGTCTAAAGGCATGACTTTCCCCCCATTTTACAAGCGAGGAGAGTAGATATTAAAGACTCAAAATCACTTTCTTTCGATGACACAGTGGCAAGTGGAAGACTGAGGATTCCACCTCGGGCAGCCCGACTTCAGAGCCAGCAGCCCCGCCCCCGCGCTGATCAACAGGCCGGCCGGAGGACCCGCCCACCAGGGCTCTGGGAGCTGGAGCCCTGGGATGCTGTGATGCCGCTGCGGCAGATTCACTGCCGGCGGGGAGGGCTGCTGGCTCCGGGACACCTTTCTGAGCCGAGTCAGACAGGCCTGGGACAGGCTTGATGGCTCACCCACACCCCAGGACAGCCTCAGGTCAGGGCGTTGCCCAGAACAAGTGACTCAAGTGTGCGTAAGTGTCCTTGTATACTCAGGCTTCCAAGCAGCTCCTACAGACCCATGCTGCCACCAACAGAGAGGCACAGCTCCTGCCCTACTAGACCATGTGCTGCAGCATCCTTAAGTGTCCCTCAGCCCCTACTCATGGGGACCCACCCAGTCTTTAGCTCTACAGTGACTGAGAAGCTTTTCAAAGGAAAGTAACAAAGGTCCAGGGAGGCAAAGAACCTTCTTAAAGGTCTACAGTACATCAGCCCCTCTGCTCCCAACGCCAAGAGCCCAGGGGTAGGAAGCAAGCGGAACGCCCGCCACCTGTCCTCTTAGCTCCTGGACTGAGGTTCTGTCTGCCCACAGAACAGCAGCCTGGGCCACGTTTGTTTCACTAATTACTGAAATATTAAAGTGGCTACCATTTGCCAGAGGGTTAGGGTTTCTGAAGGAGAATTGGCTCCTAAGACAAGGTTACCACTGCAGGAGGGGCTGGGGCTCCTGCAGTGGCTTCTGGGCAGAGACGGTGGGAGCCAGCTGGAAACCTTCCTCCACTCCCACGAGGGCACATGCTGGATTCCCGGAGGGCAGCAGGGCTGGGCTGGGAGGACGGCAGTGGGTACACAGCCCACCTCCCGCAGGATGGGAAAATCTTGGCTGACCACTCAGCGCCCCCGGGGGGTGAGGAGTCAGAGGGGTTAAGGCCTGGCGAGGGATGACTTCATGACTTGGGAATCAGGAGCTGCTGAGATGCTGGACTGGAATTCCAGCCCCCGCACACAGCCCTGGGGCTGCGGCTTTGGTCAGGCAGCTCGGGGGTAAGGTTCCTGCAGTTGTGCAAGCTGCCAGCTCCTTGGGTGGGGTCCCTGGACCTGACAGCAGGAGCTCTGTGGCTTACCGAGCTAAGCACTTAGCTCGAAATGGTTCTACGAACTAATTTTTTTTTTTTTTGGCAGAAGTGGAAGGGGTGCAGGTGGCTCAGAAAGGTAATGTCACTGGCCCAAGTCCATATAGACAGAAAATGGCCCTACTGGACCAGAACTGAAGCATGGGTCACTTGAGCCTTTATCTACATACATGTAGACCCACATGCATAAACACATGTGCTTGGAGAGTGCCCGCCTACCCAGGAAGGAAGGGAGTGGAAGTCAAACTAGCCCGGGAGGGAAAGATGGCAGGTACTACAGCCACTTGTTGACCCGGCCTGGAGACCAGACTGGCTGTGGGAGTCAGAGCCCCAAGTCCTGACAGGGAGCGGTTTCAGGACCCTTTTCTTGCCCAGGAGCCACGTTATGTTGCTTCCTCGTCACCTGCCTTCCAGTGGGTGAGAGTGTTTCAAAACAGCCCACACCAACTGGCTGCTGGTAACTGACCTCCGTCTTACATCAGTGAAGTGTAGACCAAGAGGAGGCGAGTATGGCCATCTTCTAGCCAAACCTGTACAGCTGAGACCGAGCCAGATTTATTCCCAGGTCAGCCCTCTTTGTGGCCACCCGGTCTTCCCTAACCCTTCATATTTATGTCAGGCTCCTGGACAGGATAAAGGACTTGTCTAAGGTCACAGGAGATACCTGTCCTGGCTCTAAATGGACAGGGTCCCTAGGGGCCGCCTCAGATGAGCCCAGGTGCTCTCCTGCAGCAAGTCATGATGGCTTGGGAGAACCGTGAGGTGTGCTAGGAAGAGGAAATGGGAAGTTAAATTCCTCTTCAACTCCAGAAGCACCTTCTCTGCCCACGACGCACCCCCCACCCATCAACAGGGAAATTCCTATGTGGGCAGGAGCCCTTTAAGACTAGGCCAGCAATCCAGGACCCTACTGCAGGGGCTTGTGGGTAACCATCCCTTTGTGTGGGGTGGGGGGGAGGGAGTGGCGTGGGGTGGAGGGCAACAGCCCGCCCTTCCCCCACCCACTTTTCAGCAAGGCCTATTTAGTCTGGGTGGCTTCGAAGGGCCAGGTCACCCAGCAGCCAGGCCCAGCCCTGACCAGAGGAGGACCCCACCCTCTCCTAGCTAAGGATGTGATCTGTTCTCACCTCACCCCACCCCTGCCCAGAGAGCGTGTAGCCGCATGCATGTGCATGCACAGGCATCCTCTTGGGGCCCTCAGGCTGCCCTGTGACTCTGTCCTTCTCACAGGCACACAGCAGAAATGACCAGGCGAGTGGCCCTGGACGTGGACCTCACAGACCCTGCAGGCCCGTGGCTGGTGGGAACCTGGAGGTTCAGAGGTGCTGGGTGCTTCCCCACACTCTCCACAGAGAGAGGGGTAGGTGCTGCTTTGTTCTGAAGCAGGGGTGTCAAACTCGTTTTCACCAGGGGCCACATCAGCCTTATGGTTGCCTTCAAAGGGCTGAAGGTGGAGCTCATTGTCCCTAGTTAAAGAGTAGGTACATTTATACAGTCCTAAATTACATTCGGCCCTTTGAAGGCAACCCCGAGGCTGATCTGCCCCCCAGTGAAAATGAGTGTAACACCCCTGTTCTAAAGGGACTAACACCTGCCAACAGAAGGTACCTGAGGCCACAGAGCCCAAGTGTCTCATTTTATTACCCAGCAAACAGATTAAAAGACGAGGGGCTTTGCCAAGGTCACCCAAGCAGCTGGCGGGGAAGCTGGACTTGGAATCTCGATCTCCTGGCTCTCGGGCAGGAGGGAGTCATCCTCCCTCCCTCCTTCAAGGCTGCCCGCAGGCTGCAGCTGTCACTCCAGACATGCACCCAGGCTTTAGGCTATAGGTGTGATGCTAGGGAAAGGTCACCGAGCCTGTCCCAGAGTTCTACAGCTTTTGGACCCAGGAGAGGCATGGGGGTGGCTAGCACAAGTATCCACTGCATGCCGGGCTGGGTCCTTCTCTGCATGAGCTCATTTTACCAGCATAAGCTGGTGGGGTGTTCTACCCATTTTGCAGGAAACTGAGGTTTGTGGCGTTATTCCCCCAAACTGACAGAGCTGGACAGTGACAGTGACAGAGATGGGATTCTGTCCTCCACCTTTCTCAAGACTGTGTCCTGGCCACAAGCAGACTCCTCACTGCTGCCCATGCTCCCCGCTCCACCCCAGCCTCACAGCCCACAGCCCGCAGCCCACAGCCCGCAGCCCACAGCCCACGGCCAGGCCAGGGCTCCAGCCTGCCCCCTCCCCGGGTCAGGGAGGGCACAAAGGTGAAAGTAACAGTGCTTCAACCAAAGAACAGAGACTTGGCTGGGGTACCGGGAGAAGTTCAGGGTCAAGGCTTGGTTAACTATGAACTCCAGCTGGCTCTTCCCCAGGGCAGGTAGGGTCAGTGTCAGGGACACAGGAGGTGTGACCAGGAGGGCACTGGGTGTGCCAGATTTGGGGAGAGGGTTGGGAAGCCTCCTGGGCTCCAAGACCAGACCCACCAGAGTGATGCTGGCAGGAGATCTCAGGCAGAGGTTGTTGTCACCGGTACTGTTTCCCCCCACCTCCCCTTCTGAAGGGTCAGACATGCCCCAGAATGAGCAGAACCTGGGGTCCCCAGTCAGGACTCTCTCTGCCACGGCAGAAAGGAAGGCTCCACCAGAGTGGTTACTGGAAAAGGCACATCCACAGGCTCAACTCTGTGAGCCTGGGGGCTTATTTCACACCCGAATCCACAGTGCCCTCTCTTTGTAACTAAGGTTAGAAGGCCCTGGCAGGATGATGAGGACTAGGCGAAATGCCTTAGTGTGCCACACGGGCCCCAGCAGGTGTCCTGGCACCCTGCAGGTGCTCAATGAATATGGCCGTTATTAACCCTCACCTGTCTTCCTTCTGAATAAGGAGTTACTGGTCCAAGGGCCAGAGAGACCTGAGAAAAGTTGTTGAAGCAATTCCATTGCAGAAAGAAGGTGCGCAAAGGTGCGCAAAGGTGCTATCTCTCTCAAGCTGCAAAGGGGCAGAGCCTAGCATGGGTCGGAGACTCTTCTGAAACCAGTCATACCCCCTCCAGACTGTACAAGGGCAAAAGACCCCAAGGTGGGCAGAGACCAGCCCGAGGTCACACCACTTGGAGCGCTTGTCTGAGCTGATAGAGGCAGAGGGAAGACCAGCTGTATTTTTCCAGAAGGATCCAGCAGCAATGACCACAGATGCCTGAACTTCTACACCAGAGTATTCCCTGACCTGCCTTGGGAGTGAAAAAATATCTCGAAGGCACAAACAACAGCACACCAATCCGCACCCTGGTACCTGAAGGGTTAAGCCAGCTCTGGGGGTGGGGTGGGGGTTCGGATGTCGGCTGAGCCCAGGCTCTGCCCACTCTGAGGTCGGGTTACTCTGAACACAATCGCTCAGGAGAGTCGCCAGGCCTGGCACTGCCAGCAGCCAGCTTTGCACCA